CGAAGACGATAATGGCGGGTATCGCGGGCTTGGGTATACATGCTGCATAACACGTGAACTAATAATAAGAACGATCAATATTGAAATTGTGTGTTGTTTTGGTTGTTCCATGATGTTGCGTCCTGCTATTTCCGGCCTCGTAGAATGGAAAAGTATCCGAGATCCTCCGCCCATCCCCAAGAAGTCCCGACAACACCTGTACTATATGCCACCACATCACAGTCGCCTTGAATTATGTAACAGTCTCATTGTATCATTCGAGGACACGATACTGTCTCACCAACGACCGACTATTCTGTCGCAGCGATGCGATGTGAGACACAACGCGTGCTGCCTAGAACAGGCGGCGGACTAGGTACTCGTGCACACGCGGGATGGAAGAAGCAGGAGCGGCCGCGGAGGAGGAGGCGGGGGGAGACACGCTCAGAACGTGGAGCACCTCACGTGACACTCGCGGGAGAACCCTGGAACAGCGGGCGCGCACCGGGCACAGTACAAACGGGACACCAGCGGGGGGCCCGCGCCGGCGTCTGGGGGCAGCAGGCAATCTCATGTACATGCCGATTGCTAAGGAGACCCCTCGTACTCGCACAGCATGGGTTCGTGCACGCGCGCAACTTTGAGGTTGCGGCGATGTGGTACACAACGCGATCGGACTAGACTGGACCAGGGACCAATTAACTGTGCAATTTCGCAGCCGCGCGCGCAAGAAGAACCGGAACGAAAACATCATTTCCTGGTGGGGGGCTCTCCGTTGCACCGATCGCCTCAACGAGCTAGCGGCGCCCACTGGTGAGGCAATTTAGCAGCTGGCGCGACGCGGTGCAGTCACAGGATGACTTGGTACACCGAAGATCAGCTACGCATGGGGGTGATCTTCACCAAGGCCTCTCTTGCCCCGCTCCTCCGGCTGCTCCCACCTCCAGAAAGTTGCCTTTTGAACATTCCCGCATGTGATGCACTGTGGCGGAATACAGTCCGAACGCGGACCCAATTCATCTCAGCACGTGCTGCTCATTCAAGGCCATCACAGAAAATCGCTCAGCTTCGCATTAGATCCTCGATCAGTGCCAGCCGCGAATGTCATGGCCAACCACCCCTGCGCGGACGCACCATGTGACCTTTCCAGCGGCCGATGTGCGCGAAAGCTATATTCGTGTCGCACATCGCGACGACTTACATGTGCTGAAATGCTAGGCTTCGATTGCCTCCGTCGCACTTACCAACGGTGTCGTGACCACGGCGACCACATATAGGCCGATGCCGAACTATGTTAAGTTCACAACTGATGGTAATTCTGCAACTCCTGCGGTAAGTGGTTGCGAAGCTGGCGCCCCATCCGTAGAAGCGGTCAGCAAGCACCGCGATGATCGCCTCGCACTTCCCGGGCTTCGCCTCGATCCCTGAGACTTTGTTCCCTGCGTTTGCCTTCGTAAGATAAGGAAACTTGTTCCGAGGCTCCCAACAAATGGTCCTCCATGTGCAATGAATGTGTCCGCCAACTTGTTTCCATTAAATTTTGGACTTCACGCAACATTACCTGGGCTGACACGGAAACGGAAAGAGCGCCTCAAACAAATTGACCGAAATTACTCACACCACCGTTCGTACTGGGAGCCTTGGCGTTGAGAGCTTGTTACGTCACCCCGCGCTCTTGGGAGCCTTGGTGTTCAGAGATTGTTGCGTTGCCGCCCGTTCCTGAGCCTTGGCTGGGCCTTGGTGTCAGGAACTTGTTACGTCATCGCTCTCTGCTGGGAGCCTTGGTCTTATCAGCTTGTTTAAGTCACCGATCGCTCTTGGGAGCCTTGGTGTGAAGAGCATGTTGCGTTACCGATCGCTCTTTCTTGGGCTTCTCTGAGCCTTCTTGGGAGTCCTATTGCGGCCCTTTTTGAGGCCCTTTGGGGACCTCTTGGGGGTCTGTGGGGGCCTCCTGGGAGCGTCTAGGGGCGAAAGGGTAGACTTTCGGGTTCGTGGTCCCCCTTCTGGGGCCGTCTTGGGGCCCTCTTGGGCCATCTTGGGCGCCTCTTGGGCCGCCTTGGGGCCGTTTTGGGGGCCTCTTGGGAGCCTCTGGGGCCGTCTTGGGGCGGTCTTGGAGGCCTCTTGGACCGTCTTCAACGCCGTGGAAGCCGAAAAGCCGTGTCTGCTAAACATGTACGGTTTCCGATTGGGAATCAATGATTTAGGCCTCCTGATGGGCTCGTCGGACGCCTCTTGGGGCTTCTTTGGGGGCTGTGGGGGCCTCCCGGGAGCGTCTTGGGGCGATAGGCTAGACTTTTCGGTCCATGGTCCCCCTCTTGGGACCGTCTTGATGCCTTCTTGGGCCGTCTTGGGCGCCTCTTGGGCCGTCTGGGGGCCCTCTGGGGCCGTTTTGGGGGCATCTTGGGAGCCTCTTGGGCCGTTTTGGGGCGGTCTTGGGGGCCTCTTGAGCCGTCGCCAACACAGTGAAAGTCGAAAAGCCGTAGATGCTAAACATACACGTTTGCCTCGGGAAAATATAAGATTTTGGCATCTTGGGGCTCTCTTGGGACGCCCCTTGGGCGCCTCTTGGGGGCCTCTTGGGGGCCTCTGGGGCCGTCTTGGGCGGTCTTGGGCTCTCTTGGAGCGCTCTTCGGCCGCCTGGAGGGAGAATCCGAAAAACATGCAAAAACCATAGGGAGAAAAACCCAAAATAGAACCATTAGACGCCGCCTGCGCTCCGCGCCCCTCCCCTGGACCCCTCCCATAAGGGCTTCGCCCCTGCTCAACGTCACTCGCTCGTACCTCGCTCATTCCGTCATACGTGCCAAGAACCAGCGTGGTGTGCTGCGCATGCGGCCATGCACCACGGTCTTCGGCACAATGCAGACGATATTTGGACAATCCAACAGACGCTCCACATTGTGGGGGATTTGAAGCCATGCGTGTAGATGAGGTTGTATGGCCACCAGCTCGCATGACGAAAGGAGGCGCTGCTGAAACTTTGAAGGGGGCCTGATCACACTGGCTTAAGCAAATGGGATGGGAGGAAGGAGAGTGGTGGGAAGCAGCCTGAGGAAGGCGGGAAAGCAGAAGGGAAAGGACGAAACAGGAGAAGGGGGAAGGAGTATATCCACCACCGTGCGCCCTGGCACGTTGAGGCGTGGTAGAATGCCACGTGCTGTCTGGTAAGGTTTCCGTCTGCTAACCAAAGGTCCCTCCTTTACTAGGGAACTTCGGCATACATCGTCGGGTCCGCGCTCCCGAGGCCACGAACCCCGGTTAAAGCTATGACTCCGCGTCCCAAGCTCCAACACGACCCATGCAAGCAACCAAGGACACCAAAATTGCCCACGCTGCCTCGAAGACGGCCCAAGATGGCCCCAAGGCGGCCGAATATGACCGCAAGACGGCCCAACATGCATCAGATAAAGCCCATAAGGGTCACTGGAGGACCTCCAACAGGGTCTGGACAAACCAGAATCAGATATGTGTCTTGGGTGTTTGACTGAATTTCGCATGCTCGCCTTTTCAGGCTGCCGTCGGCTGAAGACGGCCCAAGAAGCCTCCACGATGGCCCCAATACGGCCCAAGAGGCCCCCAAAAGGATCCCAAGATGGCCCAAGAAGACACCACGATGGCCCAAGAGGTGGTCAAGACGGTCCCGCGATACCCCCTCGTGGAACCCAAGACGGCCGTACAAGGCCCTTCGACGGCCCAAGACGGCTCCCAGACACCCATTATACGACCAAGAGAGCCCCAAGACGGACCAAGAGAGCCCCAAGACGTTGCAAGAAGCCCAAGGCGGCCCAAGAGGGCCTCAAGGGACCCCCAAGACTGCTTCACAGGAGGACAACGCAGCCACGAGACAGCCAAACGAGGTCCATGAGAGCTCCTCACATCGTGAAGACGAAAAGTGTTTTATGTAACGAATTTCCTACTCCACCTCCTCCTGATCCTGCTCCGCCTCCTCATCCTCCCCTCGTCATCATCATCATCATCATCACCACCACCACCACCATCATCATCATCAGCAGCAGCATCAGCATCAGCATCAGCATCAGCATCATCATCCTCATCCTCATCCTCATCCTCATCATCATCATCATCATCATCACAATCACCATCATCATCATCATCATCAGCAGCATCATCATCATCATCATCTTCATCTTCCTCATCATCATCAGCATCATCAGAATCATCATCATAATCATTATCATCACCATCATCGTCGTCGTCGCCGTCAGCATCATCATCATCGTCGTCGTCATCATCATCAGCAGAAGCAACATCATCATCAACATCATCACCACCACCATCCTCATCATCCCCATCATACTCATGATCAACATCATCCTCGTCACCAATCCCCAAAACTTAAAAATACGATGTGTCACACGTGACGGCCTTCCGTGCTCGCTCGAACAATTACCACCAGACTGCTGGGCTGGCGCGGTGGCGGGACTTGCATCAGGCAGCTTAGAAGGGAGGGGAGAACGTAGGGAGAGGGGGGATGGAAGCCAATTGAGGGAGAATGCTGAAGGGGAAGGAAAAGGAAGGGAAGAGACGGAGGGAGCAGGAAGGGAAGAGACGGAGGGATAAGGAGGACAGGCAGAAATCAGTCTCGAGGGCGGAGCGGGGAGGAGCATGGCATGAAACCACTATCAATCACTGGTTGTTGCCGCGCGCGTGCGGCACAAAACACGCGACAGCTACGCGTCGTTTGCCAGCGCTCTCCTGTTTTCCCTTTGCCATGTGGATGACACCTCTCTTGCAGCCGATGCGGGCCAAAGAGGATGAAGGGGGGAGGGCGAGCGGCGGCGGTAGAAAGACAACAACCTACATGAACATAAACTCTCCGAGGTTCTCGAGGATTTCTTGGATCTGCGCTGGACCCCCCCTGACGGCGCCTCTGGTGCTGCCTCTGGCGGGATCCGCGCGCCAGGGAGGAGGTCGAGCCCGGAACCAAGAGATCCGCGCGGACCTCCGACGGCTTATGTCTCTGTAGCGATTCCCATTCTTCGAGGCGGTGGCGCTGGAGCCTCGTCGGCGATGCTGTCTACGCGGGCGAAGCAGGCCTGCTGAACGGTGCTGGCCATCTGCTGGACGTGCTGGCCGGCCAGGGGCGTCGCAGGGTAAACGGGCGAGGGCGGGGCTCAGGGAAACACTCGTCAAGCTGGAATCGGGGGTACGTCGCCGACAGATTGGCGATGACCCCCCGGCAAAGACACCGCACGGTTCCTGAGCAGAGCGGGGCACCTCGGGAAAGAATCGGCGACAGGGGTCGGCATTCTCCCTCGCCCCCCCCATCCCCCCATGGACCAGTCCTCCCCTTTCGGCGCCACTGGGCGAGGCGCCGAAATCAGCATGAATGAAGCGGAACCTGGAGAAAAAAGGTCATGAGGGCTTCGCCGTTCTCGGGACCCCCCGGGGTCCTTCGCGGGCCCAAAAACAATCAGATCATTCGACGCGGGATCGCATCGCAGTTCTGGGCACTTCCGTCTGGGAGTGTCTGAAGGGCGTTTGCCTTGGGAACATTCGGCGGCGCGCTTCGAACCAGGAGGTGGGCCGCTTCCTCCCCTCCCCCCTCTGCGCCGGCGCCGGCGCCTGCGCCGGCGCTGGCGGCCGCCAGCAGCGCCCACGGCGGGGACGCAGCGATGATGACCAGAGGCAGCTCAAGTGGGGGGGAGGGGATTCAAACCCCGTAAGGGTTGTATCTCCGCCCCCTGGAACAAGGCTCGTGTAAGCGTTTTCGAGGCTTCACACAATTCGTGATTATCATTCTCATGTCGAGTTTCTTCGCTCTCTCTCTCTCTCTCTTTCTCTCTCTAATCCGCCACAAAAGAAATCCTCCTGTAATCCTCCACAAAGGAAATCCTTTTGAAACCCACACCCAAGGGCCTAGGGAGGTACCAGCCAAAAAAGCAAAAACAAAAAAAGAAAGAAAAAAGCAAACAAAGCAACAAAAAGCTGGGACTCTTTGCGATTTGCAAACCTACGATCAGAATACAATCGAATTCAATTACATTTGGGTTGTACACGATCGGATTCTGCAGATCAAACTGTGTACAATTACAATACAATTGATTTGTATTGAATTCTGGACGTAGATTTGGAAAAAACGCAAAAAGAGTCTCAGCTTCTTGTTGTTTTGTTTTTTGATTGTTTTTTTTTTGTTTTTTGCTTTTCTGGAGGCCCTCAGGTCCTGGGCCCCTGTGGCGAATTGGATTCCAGCGGTAACATTCCACGAAAGAAATCTTTCTGAAACCCAAGCCCAAGGGCCCAGGGGGGTACCAGCCAAAAAAGCAAAACAATACAGAAAAACAACAAAAACAAACAAACAAAACTTGGATTCTTTGCGATCTTCAAATCCACGATCAGAATACAATTGAATTCGATTACATTTGGGTTGTACACGATCGGATTCTGCAGATCAAACTGTGTACAATTAAAATACAAGGTTGTTTCATTGTATTTGGACGTAGATTTGACAAACGCAGAGAGTCTCAGCTTTTTTATTTTTTTTTTTTTTTTTATCTTTTTTTCTGATATGTATTGTTTTCTTTGTTTTTCTTCTTTTTGGAGGCCCTCAGGTCTTGGGCCCCTGTGGCGACTTGGATTCAAGTGGAAATAGTCCACACAAAATACTTATGGGATCCTTTTGTGGCGCATTAAAAAAGGATTCCTTTTGTGGCGGATTACGAAGGGATTCCTATTGTGGAAGGTTATTTAAAAAGATCCTTTTGTGGCGGATTCCAACCGGATTTCTTTTGTGGCGAATTACAAAAGGATTCCTTGTGTGGCGGGGGTACCCAACCAAAAATTTATCAAAAAACGTGAGAGTCCCATGCGTTTTTTTTTTCCCCTGGTAATTTTTGTTGTTTTTTTTCACTGGTACCCCAGGAGCCGCTGGTCAACTTGTACGTCCGCCTTGAAGGCATTCCTCTTGTGGCGGATGAAAAAAAATCCTTTTGTGGCGGATTAGAAAAGGATTCTTTTTGTGGCAGATTCCAAAAGGATTCCTTTTGTTGCGGATTCCAAAAGGATTTCTTTTGCGGCGGATTACAAAAGGATTCCTTTTCTGGCGGGGGTCCGCAGACAAAAATTCATCAAACAACGTGAGAATCCCATGCGTTTTTTGTTCTTTTTACCTGGTTATTTTTCTTTTTTCGCTGATACCCCTTGAGGCGCCGGTCAACTTGCACGTCCGCCTGAAAGGAATTCGTTTTGTGGCGGATTCCAAAAGGATTCCTTCTTGCGGCGGATTACAGAAGGATTCCCTTGTGGCAGATTGCGCGCAAATCCCTTTAGATGCGAGCTTCAAAAGAACTCACGTGGAAAACGGAGGCAGAGGAGGACGACGACGACGAAGACAAAGAGAGAAAGAGAGGGAGAGAGAGAGAGAGAGAGAAAGACAGAGGGATGGAGGGGGAGATAGAGAGCGAAGAAACTCGACATGATAATGAGAGTCATAGATTATGTAAAGCTGTACAAGGTGTTCTCGCATGCCGCATGCACATTCCCAGAGACCGCGCGCGCGTTTCACGACTGCAAACGCCCGCCGCCGCCCACGGGAGCTTTTTGAGGCAGTAAAAGGGGGAAAATCTGTGCATTTTTCCAATTTGTGGGTTGGTTTGGGCGGTTCAAAATGAAGCTCCTGGGCCACCAGGCGCAGTTGTTTTTTTTTTTCGGCGCACTCATTTCAATGGAACGTTCACCGTTTTTCCAGGACGACAATTTCTTCATATTTCGCCTAGGAGCGGATTGCGGGTGCCTGTCGGGTGCCCTTCGGGTGCCTTTCGGGTGCATTCCCGTTGCTTGCCGGTGGCGCTGCGGGAACTTCTTCAAGGCATCCTGCGGGTGTTCAGTTGGCATTTTTCATGAGCGTCGTATATATTTTCGGGATGTTGCGGGTGCCTTCCAGGTGCTCTCGAGGTGCCTTCCGGGTGCCCTCGGGGTGCCTTCGGGTGCCTTCGGGGTGCCTTTCAAGTGCTTTCGGGTGCTCCCCGGGCGCTCTCTCAGGCGCCGCAGGAAGTAAGAAATTTGATTCCTCGACGGTGTCCCTTTTGTCCCCTTTGTCCCCTCTTTGTCCTCTTTTGTCCCCTCCTCTGCTGGAGCTAGCTTCTATCACAACAACACCGCGTTCAGCAAGCTGTTGGGGGAACAAGGTCGCCACCTCGTTATCAGTGTTAATAACACTCTTATCATTAGTCGTAATATGTTTGTTCTCCTCGTTCTAATGTTACATAATCCGCTCCTTCGTCTTACGAATTCATATTTTTATTATTCGCATCAATATTATTTTGTGATGTTGAATCATGTATTTCTTTTCTTTTCCGACCTGGCGGGTCTCCCGCTCTCGGAACTTGCGGCTGAGGCCCATAGCCTCCTTCTTGATCAACAAAAACCACTGGACGAACTAAAACTGTACGCATTTCGCCCGGGCGAATTAAAACCGAAACCGGATGAATTTAAACCGGACGAATTTAAACCGGATGAATGTAAACCAAGCGAAATTAAGGCCCCATGAAATTAAACTGGGCGAATTAGAACCCGATAAATTCAAACCAGGCGAATTCAACCCGGATGCTTTAAACCAAAGGAATTACAGGCGGACGAATGTAAAGGCCGATTCGACACGGCGAGCGAAACACAAACACATTGAAACCAGATGGAACGAAACATAACAAATGAAAACCGGATGAACTCAAACAGGCCGAATTAAACCGGGCGAAATGACACGGGTGAAACTAAGCGGGTGAATGTGATCGAGTGAATTCAGACAGGTGACATTACAGGGGTGAATTTAACATCGGGTGAAATGAAAGTGAATCTCTCAGAGGGGCCCTGGGGGCAAAACCAAGCAACCCCCTTGAGAAATCCCCACAATGCGGAGGCGAACGGGCGAATGTCCCACTCCCTGGCAACTCCCCCCAGGGGTGCCCAACTGCCACGCCTGCATGTCGCGGTGATCATGGGGATTTCAAAACAGCTGAACCTGAGGCACAAAAGCACGCAGAGGCCTCGAGAAATCCCACCAATCTGGGCGCCAACGAGCAAGTGCCCCCCGTCCTGGCGGCTCCGCTCTTGGGTGCCCAAATGCCACGCCTGCTATGTCGCGGCGATCACTGTACTCTCAAGTGGAGCAGCCTGCGGGGGGCGAAAGCAAGCCAACCGCTTGAGCCATCCCCACGACCTGGGCGCGAACGGGCGAGCGAGTGCTCCATTCCCTGGCGGCTCTCCCTAAGGTTTCTGCTTTGTCGGGGGGTAGTCATGGGGCTCTCACAGGAGAAGTTCGGGGAGCAAGGACAGGCAACGTGCTTGAGACATCCCGACAATCTGGACACGAACGGGTGAGTCATGTCTCGGTGACGATGGGGCTCTCAGAAGAGATGAGACTGGGGAGCCAAAACAAACAAACCGCTTGAAGTATCCCCAAAGTCCGTGCGCGAATGGGCGAGCGTTCCCATCCCTGGGGGCTCACCCTTTGGGTGCCCAAGTGCCATGCCTGTTTTGTGGTGGCGATCATAGTTGTGTGTAGGGGTCGGTGTATAAGTCGGCTGGGTATGGGTGGATCTAGGTGGGGGGTGGATCTGGGTGGGAGTGTCCTGTGTAGGAGTCAGTCTGAGTATGAACCAGACTGGTTATCAGTGGACCTGAGTGAGAACGAAGATGAGCATCAGTTGAGCTGATCCTGTGATGTGAAGAATCCACTTGTAAGCTTTTCGTGTGCAGATTAAACCAGACGAGTAAGGAATGGCGAATTATCTCACATGTCGGATCATGAAAGAGTTGCGCTACGGTGGAGGATGCAAAGAACTGGCCTTGCCATCCAATGCCGGGCCGTGGGTGTTTGGTGTCCTATGGCCGCTTATGAATTCGCCTCACGGGGCTTCCAAGTGGCTTCCCACCCCACTGATTCTGTCTGCCGGGGTCGGGCCTAGGGCGCTTTGCCTCTCATGGCCTTCTACACCCTGCAGTGGTTGAGCTCCAATGGCGCGACTTCGCTATAAATGCCTGCCCCTTGGCCCTGCCAACCCGGGTCGGACTGTGTCCTCGGCATTCCAAGACCTCCTGTGGATTGGCCTGCCTTGGCTTTTCGCTTCCTCCTCCTGTTCTGGAGGAACAGGGCAAGTAGGAGGATCAGGAGGCATTGATTGGATATGTTGATCGCAACTCTACAGGCAAGCTATCAGATCAGGGGGGGCGTCAGGAGCCTGACTCCCTTCAGGGCGGTGGAGAGAAAAAATCAGGGCGATGAGGAAGGCATGGAGGGGGTGGTGAAGGAGGACGAGAACTGATGATGTTGGAGGGACGGGGGAGGAGCAAGGATGGATGGGAAGAACGAGGAACATGATGAAGATGAGCAAGAGTGCAATTATGAGGAAGGCGGTGAAGGAGCATCAGGCGGAGGACGACTGAAGGCGGAAAAAGTAGGCCGGATCAGGATAGACAAATGCCACAACACGTAGCGCAAGGCTTGAGACGGTGGCCAACCCCGCCCCTGCTCTCATCAATATCCGACGCCCAGCCCATCAAAGAGCACAGGCCCCCAACCTCCACTCCCGTCCTCCCCCCGTCGCCCCTCCGCTCCCTACCCCACGCATCCTGATCCAGGAGGGCCTCCTGGTTCCTGCACGGCTATTTTCGGGATTTGTTTTGAGTGTCTATGGAAATCAACGTCCACGGCGACAACAAAACTGAAAACGCTCCTAATCGACAACGAAACCAGAACGGACCGGAATCGATGGTGCGGCAACGACACGGCAACCAGCCGAACCAAGCCGACCGAACGCAAACGGCCGAACCGAGACGGCTGCGACGCAGCCGAACCGACTGAGCAGCAGACACCTTTGATGGAGACTCCCCATTCCCGTACATCTCAGGTGGCAACCCTGCCCTCACAGGCGGGCGATCGAACAGGCGGGCGCGGTCGCCGCAGCGGGGAGCCCGCGCCTTGTGCACCTCGCTGGACGCCTGCTGCGCCTCCTAGCTTTTGAGGGGGAGGGGGGCAACTACCAGAAAAGCTTGGAGGGAGGACGGAAAGAAGGGGGCGGGGAGGAGGGATGGGGGAGGACGGAGGGAAGGCGGAGGAAGGAGGAACTGCGACAAGGCCATGCAGTGAAAGTGCCCGGATGCAGTGAAAGTGCCAACATGCAGTGGAAGTCACCACATTGCGAGGAGGAGAAAGGACATACAGTGAAAGTGCCCACATGGCGCATGGACCGTGGAAGAGCCAAGACGGGTCCAAGCGAGGCACGCTCCATCGGTATAGACGACAACGTGTCTGTGGACCAGGCTGTCTGAGGGGGAGGCTATGCTGACTTTGGTTGCGACGTGACGGTGAGTGGGTCTGCCTTGAGGGCAACACTCGTTAAGTGTCTGACTGTGGCGGATGGGTAATTCGTAATCGGAAGCAGGGGCGCAGGATGTCTCCGAACGGATGCCAATCTTGCATTACTACATCACCTACAGGCCTGAAGGCGCTCCTCTTCTGACGTCGTCGATGTGATCATTCCCGAGAGCCGCAAATTTCCAACCGAGACTTCATTAGATCCACAGCCGTTCCTCTGGAACGTAGTGCAATTCCCTTGGGCCTTCCCGAAGCTTGCGGGCTCCTGGGGCTTCCCGAAGGTCCTGGAACCGTCCGGAGGCTGCCGGAGCTGCCGGAACTCAGGACCATGGTTGGTAAGCCAAGCTTCCAACATGCCCTAAGATAGCTCTAACGGCTCGCCTCTGGTGGGGGTCACTTGGGCGGTTTGGGGGCCATGGGGCCTGCTTGGAGGCAACAATAAGAGTAGCACGTGGTCTTCGCACGATGTCGCAACTCCAGCCTTATCGGCCTCAAGAGCGTATAAGACATCTCAACAAGCACTTGAGAGATCCCTAAGACGGCACTCGAGGCCCCCAAGGGACCTGACGAGGACGGGATACAAAAGGAGGAGGAGGAGGACAAGGAGGAGGAGGAGAGTCAGGGACAGGAGGAGCGAAGGAGGGCCGTGTGGATGAGCGAGAACAATGACGAGCGGGGACAGGGAGCAGCGAGGGGGAGGACCAGTGGGGAAACGACAAGAGCAACCTCCGCCCCTCACCTCTGATCCCTCTGAGACTGCTTCGTGTTGAGAGAGTCGAGATTCCCTCGCCCCCCCGTTGGCGTCGACGAGGTCTCCTTCGAGGTCTGGCTCGACTCCCCCGCGCCAAGGTCCGAGCCCTCTCAATGGCACTCCAGTGCTTCCCCAGGGCTAGACGACGGCGGGAAGAACATAAACTGGAGCGGGATGAATGGTGCATCTCTGAGAGCTGGTATGCATGGAGGATGTGCCTGCCGCCGCGGCCGCTCGGGAGCGCTCCAGAACGCTCCGAGGGCAGGCAGTCCAGACAGCTCTGGAGCGATCGATCTTCCTCCTACGACTTCCTGACCAAGGCCCCACGTGGGCTCCAGCTTCGCTCGAACCTGTCGGGAACGGGAACAAGGTCCTGCTCAAGAGTACGAAAGGAAACTGCGCCCGTGCCCTGATCGTCCTGTCCTCGATTGACCTTGAGATGACCGAGGGGAACCGCAAACGCGAAATCGACCATGTGCAACGAACCCTTGTGGCAACCTCCGGCCCTGCCACTCCGTTGCTGGCTGGTCGTCTTCGACAGGGCCTGCCACGGTGGCAACTGCACACGCATGCACTTAGGTATGCGGGCATTCGCCCGAAACGTCGTGCGGATATTTCCTTGAACGTCTCGCGCTCGTGAACCTACCTTGAAGCAGGAGCCCGAGCGCGGAAGTTGCGGACGCAACTTCGTAGTCATGCCGTTGTCCCCGACCGCGAGGACGGGGGGCGGGCCGCGGCGGCTCCTCTACGCACCGGCGCACCTGCGCCGTCACGCGGCTCTGCTCGTCGCGGATGTAGCGCTCCAGGGCGGCTGCGCGGCAGGTGGTGCGGGGGGGGGGGGGAAGGGCCAGTTGGGGGGGGGGCAGAGAGAGAGGAGGGGCGAGCTTCCTCTTCTCCCCCCCCGTTCATCCTCTTATCTCAGCTCCTGCTGCTCTTGCTCCTGTTCCTCGAGTTTCTCCTCCACCATCGTTCGTGCGTCCGTTGGGGGTGTCCGCGCTCCATGGGATCTTGCAGTCCGACTGTCGCCGATACGTCGATCCAAGAAAAACTCAACGTCAGCGAAGCGTCGGATATGCATTCTGCCACCCAGCCCCTTAGCAAGGTCGCTTTGACGCAACATCATACTCGGTACTGAAACTCTCATATCCCCCTCCTCCCTCCCCGGAAAATGTGCCATTCTACAGCGTACGACCGAGATCATCCACATGCCCCCGAAGTCATACCCAGAATTGCCCCATGGTTTTCCGCAGATCAGATGCGAATACACCCGAATTGAAACACCAATCACGTCACCTCTCGGGTTGGCGCTCGCCTCCCAATCAAACCACATCTCCGACGTCCTGACGCTTCAATGAGCGAGGCCCCAGACTCTCTGTATGCACGATTTTCGCGCCATGAAGCCCAAAACGGGCCTCCAAATCCCCAAGCAATCAAAAACTGGCCGTCCTGACTTGCTCGGGCCGCTGATCTCGGGTGCCCTTCCCTGTGTGAGGTCACGGGCTTGGCTGCTAAAAACGGGGACTGATCTGCGGCGTCGCGCACGCCTGCGCTAGCGCCTATAGTCTCCACAAAAAGGTTCGACACATGCGGCCTCAATATGTAAGTTATCCTCCTGCCGCCCATCTCCGTCCGCCACTCTACAAGTGTTGTTCGCCTCCTCTCCCTACCTCCACACCTACACGGTATGAAGGCTAATACCCTCACCCCCCGTGCGGGGGGGCGTTCTCTCGCGTATTGCTTGTCGCACTCGGTAGTCCAAACAAGGCATTGTTCTGTAACTGGTTCTGTCGGAACGCTTACGGTCCTTCCAACGAAATGTTCCCGCTGCAGCAGTGGTCGCATTTCAGGAACGGTGACTTGCTCCCGTCGTTCAAAATAAGGTTCTCGCCCCAACGCGGGCGACATTTCTGGACCCGAATCGACCCTCGTCGTTGCTGTCCCCCTCCTTTCCCATCCCCCACCTTCTCTTGGACCTCCTACTCGTCCTGCCCATCATGTCCCTCCTACCCGTGCTGCTGCTACACCCCCCCTCCTCCCCCTTCCGCAACATACCCCTCTTCCTCGACCCCCCCCCTCCGCCTTCCCTCGGAATGCGCATCACACGAGGGGGTCAATCAGTCTGGGGGATCGAGGTCCTCGAAGACGCTGAAGTTGACGGATGCGCAATCACTAATAACCCTTCGCGTGTCCCCACCCGCCCATCCAGAAATCCAAGAGAGCTGCCCTTATAACGAATGAACTAACAAACAAGGAAACAATGAGGGGAGGCAACTGTCAAACCGAAGCTTGTGATCAGCATGAGCAAACCTATGAGCCGACCAGAAATTACTCCAAGGACCTTTCCACAGCTAAATTGGGCAACTTGGGGGGACGGGGGGGCGCTCTTCGGACAATGTTGAAACTCCATTGGGGGCCGTGTGTGGGCCCGCTTGGGGCCATCTTGGAGGCCTTCGAGCAAGGGAGGAGTCTTAATGCCAACTCCCCAGTCGCATGCCAACCAATCGCCTTTTCTGGGGCAGTATTGGGTCGCGTTCGGCCACTGTTGGAGCTGTGTTGTGGGCATCGTGGGCCAATCTTGGGGATCTCTTGGGCATTCTTGTAATCATCAAAATGGAGGGGGGCCGAACGGTCATTCATTGTGGGGATCCGTGGTAAGGGTTCTGTTCGTTACGTTGTTGTTGTTGTTGGTGTTGTTATTGTTGTTGTTATTTGTTGGCGTCGTCCCACCCGCGACACACCCGCGACCCACCCCGCGACCCACCCCGCGACACACCCGCGACTCACCCCACGACCCATCCGCGACCCACCCGCGACCCATCCGCGACCCATTCGGGACCCAGCCGCGACCAACCCCGCGACCCACTCCGCGACCCACTTGCGTCCCACCCGCGACCCACCCGCGACCCACCCCACGACCCATCCGCGACCCACCCGCGACCCCGCGACCCACCCGCGACCAAACCGCGACCCATGTGCGACCCACCCGCGACCTACCCACATTGGTTTAACAAAAAAATCGGCGATTGCGGCGGGCTCGTTGCATGATTTGTGAAACTTTGGCGCCTGCGGCGGGCTTCCCCAAAGTCTCGCAGACTGCCGACGGCCCCACCGCCCCATCACTCTGATCCGCATCTGCGGGGTGCTACGTATTTGTTGGGGCCGGATGCGCCCCATATCGCTTTGCCAACGATGCCGCAGACTGCGATGGCCTCGCGCTTAAAATCCATATAAAACCTAGCGAACGCTTCTCCGCCGTGCGAACGTGGGATCTGAAGCGACTTGGACTTTACAATTCAGTGTTCTTCTGCGAATGTTGGGCGGGCTTTGGCATCTCGACGGTTGAAGGGGGTTGGGGGGGCCCAGCCAGAAGCTTCCCCATGGGCGAAGCCCATATCCAACTCTGTTGTTCCGTAGTAGCATTAGTCCCAGAAGTAGGAGATCGTCGCGGGAACGACGGGCCATGACAAGCGAACACGCATTCGGTCTCAATGGCGAGTAGTGTGCCACGCGATGGGGCGCAGTCATACGTTGGCGGGCGGCTGCTTGAAAACAAACGGCCGCGGACAAACGCTTGCTATCTCTCGCCTCTGCCCCGGCGCCCTTTAGAGTCGGGGGGGGGGGGGGGGGGGGAAGCGCGAGTCCGCCGCCTGATATGCAATAAAACACTATAGACACAGGGTGGGTAGGCGGCAGCATGCGGGCTCAACGACAAAAGTTGACCCGCGCGCAAGTGCCCTTGCAAGCAAGTTGCCTCGCAGGCAAGTCGCCTTGCAGGCGAATTCTCCTCAGACGGCTCAAACGATCATGTGTGGTCAGACCTGCGCGGAATATGTCGTTGTCAGTCGCGCTCGAAAGATTGCGTTCCTCCCATGGCCTGTAAGGGCATATATATATATATATATATATATATATATATATATCGATGCTCCCTTTGGTGTGGCCTCCCGCAGTCATGTCGCGAGTGTCACGCCACTGTGCGCCGCGCACGATACCTCGCTCCATCATCTGCCGCATCCCACTGATGTGTCCCAAAAGCGAACACTCAGTCGGTTTCTCCAGGTCGCTACTCGACAAGGACTTGAAGACACATTCTTCATCGATGGCCAGAGTGACCTATTGCTCAAGCCGCCCATCTCAAGTCTATATGTCAACTGGGCGGGTCTCAGCGGCCCTGCGTGGAGTTCATGCAGAGTGACGATCATGAGATAGCAGTCATCCAACTTGCGAAATGCTGCTAGTGTTTCCGCTGAATAGCTCGAGCGAGCCTGCAAGCGGTGAGACTTGCAGTGCGCAGCGATAAGATGGACGACGGGCTTGCCAGCAGACGCGCTTCCACGCCGTAGCAGGTTTACCCCGCGAATACCATAGCCTTTGACCTCGTCCTCGGCATCTCCGGTAAGACGCTGGTAACCGGGGTCGATGCGCAGGTCGACCTCGCCCGTTGGAGCCATCGGTTGGTAGACTATCTTCTTGGGGCAAGCCTGCATCTTTCTGGTGCTCACTTTCAGCCGTCGCCCTTGCGCGTCGGTCGGTTCTCGGGCGCGTTGTAGGGACGCAACATATACCATCTACCACGGTTGTATGATTAAGGCGTTAGCCAGATCGCCTCTGAGGCTGACAAATAGGTCCGTGACCATATTTGATGCCTTGGCGTCAGCGTCTGCGCCAGTGAGTTCAGGATGTTGTACAGGACGGAGCTGTCTTATACTTTCGTGCAAATCATGCGCATCGTCTCCGTTCCCACCCTTTGTGTACCTCACAACAAAATCCGTATATGAGTGTATGTTGAATATACACTTGGCAAAAATATCGTCACCACACTGGACGTGCCTGTCGACGGCGTCCTCAGTACTGGCCATACTGATGTCATCAAAGCGCTTAGCTGTAAATGGAACTTATCACGACATCCTCGTCATAGGATGTGGGTCTGAAACCAAACCCTCTTGTGGTCTTTCTGAGGTTCAGTGAGAAGGCTCTTGGTGCGTCCTTTGTGCCGGTGCCTGGTTTGAGGCGCTGCAAGCAGTGCTTCGACTCGTCGCAGTGCTCCAATCCTGGGAGAGATCGAAGCGCAGATGCTGATCCAAGCGGCTGTGTAAAGCACGCCACACGTTTTTGGTTTCACCGGTTGGTTCAGCAAGTTCCTGATAGCCATGCTGATGTCAAGGGAAGCAATGATCCATTGCTTCTTGCACGCTGCCGTGCTCGCGAAAAGTCCCCGGTCTGACCGTCGCGCCGTTCCTGAGGTGGTTTCCACGTCGAAGGCTTCGAGGTCAATAAACCTCCGAATTACCAGGCGTAGTCTAATGGTCCGTTCCATCTCGCCCTTCTCGTTCTTGACGAATTCCCACTTATATCCGTATCTCGAGGTCATGATGTCTGTCGCCTTTGATCTGTCTCGCGTTTTGAAACACTTGTTGTAAAACCATGTCTTGAGCTCAGTGTATGGAGCTTAAGATACCTTGACTGGACTCGCCTAGTTTAGCTGCAGCGACCACATATACTCGCACGGTGGTCACACGGTCGAAATTTAGTAATGTGTTTTTTTCTCGGAGAGGACTACCTTTGACATGACTGCAGTGAAGCAGAGCTCTATGATTTTCTATACATATATATTGTCCATGCTCGTCAACGTTCAATCCTTCAGCGTCGTCTTCGTCCGTAGAGCACAGCGGGAAACGATGTGTATCCGTTGAGTCTACATCATGCGGGTTACCCCGCACAGGCAGGTGCCCACGCTGTTCTTCAACCACTGTGACCAGCACGCTGTTGTCGGTGATCATCTGTGTGGGTACAGTGTAGAGGTCGTCTATT